GGATGAAATACTATATGAGGGATGAAATACTATATGAGGGATGAAATACTATATGGGGGATGAAATACTATACGGGGATGAAATACTATACGAGGGATGAAATACTATACGGGGGATGAATTGCTATGGGGGATGAATTACTATATGGGGGATGAATTACTATGGGGGATGAATTACTATATGGGGGATGAATTACTATGGGGGATGAATTATACTATATGGGGGATGAATTACTATATGGAGGATGAATTACTATATGGGGGGATGAATTACTATGGGGGATGAATTACTATGGGGGATGAATTACGATGGGGGATGAATTACTATATGGGGGATGAATTACTATGTTTAATAATATATCTATTTAATAATAAATAAATAAAATAATATAAAATATAAATAATATAATTACTATATATATAAATTAAATAAATTTAAAATAATAGGGTTATTATAATCTATTATATAATATTAATAAAATATATATATAATAAATAAATTAAAAATAAATAAAAATAATTATATATAAAATAAAAAATATTATAAATAAATAAAATATAAAAATATAATAATTATATTAAAATTATTAATTCTATATTTTAATTATCACTAAATACTATTTTATAAAATTTAATAATATAATATAAATATATAATACTATTAAAAATATATAAATAATAATAAAATAAAATAATTAAATTTAAAAAAGATGAATTACACTATGGGGGATGAATTACTATATGGGGGATGAATTACTATATGGGGGATGAATTACTATGGGGGATGAATTACTATATGGGGGATGAATTACTATATGGAGGATGAATTACTATATGGGGGATGAATTACTATGGGGGATGAATTACTATGGGGGATGAATTACGATGGGGGATGAATTACTATATGGGGGATGAATTACTATGGGGGATGAATTACACTATGGGGGATGAATTACTATATGGGGGATGAATTACTATGGGGGATGAATACTATATGGGAGATGTATTTTCAGTTTTAAAAATGTGGCTCTCAAAATAAATTTCAATCATGGTTTTGGCGAGATTTGGCCCAGTTGAAAAAAAAGGTTGCCCACCACTGCCCTATACTAATACTCCACTAGTGTGTGGTAGCGACCAAAGCAGTCATTGAGGCAGAAACAAGGTTGGCCAGGACAGGAGGGGCAAAAAAGCGAATGTTTTGCCTAACTCCATGTCTGCTACACACACATCATATTTTTTTGGGGTGTCCTTTGGGTTGGGGTACTAGGAATATCATTGGGAACATGCCTCTTACGCAGCTGGCTAACTGCATCTGGCTTGGGGGTTTGGGCCATAGCACCTTCTGGATACAAAAGAGCTGTAATGATCTCTTCCTGGAAATTTAGAAAGGGTCCACTATGTCCAGTTGCTTTGTAAAGCACAAAAGCTGAAATAAATAAATAGACTCTTTTTTGTACCAGCGTCTGGCTTTTTGGGAAACTAAGTACGGCCTCGTCATCTGGTCGTTGAAGTCCACCCCTCCCATGTTAAGGTTATAGTCATGAACACAGAGGCTTCTCAACAACACCAGCTGCCATGGCAATTTGGATAGTCATGCCTGCGTGAATGGAAGACTGGACGAAAACATCCCGTTTGTCTTTCCACTTCACTGTGAGCAATTCCTCATTTCTCAAACAGGCTTTTTCCCCCTTTCTAAGACAGGTATTTACAAGCCGTTAGGGGAAGCCATGGCGATTAGGTCGCATGGTGCCACATGCGCCAATTCCAAGATTGTACAAATGTCTAAAAGCAGCACGCTTGAATAAAAATTGTCCACATATAAATGGTACCCCATATGAAAAAAGGATGACACCAAATCCCAAACTATCTTTCCACTGCTCCCCATGTAGTATGGGCATCCAGGGGGCTCCACGTGACTATTTTTTTCCTCATAAATCCGAAACGTATATGTATAGCCTGTTGCCCTCTCATAGGTCTTATACATCTTGACCCCATATCTGGCACGCTTGCTGGGGAGAAATTGTGTGAATGCAAGGCGGCCAGAAAAATTAATGAGGCACTCCTCAAAACAGATGTTTTGCTGGGGAGTATAGACATTTGCAAAAATTTTGGTTAAGGTGATTTACAAGGGGTCAAATTTTGTGGAGTCGGTCAAATTCAGGGTCACCCCGAGGACGATAGTGAACTGTCATTGAAATGCATAAAAGGCATTATATTCTCATATCTATGCCTGGCCATAGCAGCAGAGAACATAAGCATATTATGAATGGGGTCTGTGGACCAATACAACTGCAATTCATTTTTTTTTATTAATACCCATGTTGAGGGTTAGGCCCCAAAAAAACTTTAAATTCAGAAACAGTAATAGGTTTCCATCTAAATGGTCTGGCAAGGTTGGAATTTGGGTTGGCGGCAATAAACTGTTGTGCATATAAATTGCTTTGATCCACGATGCAGATCTTCAGTGAAAAAACAGCTCCAAAAATCAAGGAGAGTAGTTAAATTTGCTGTTTCCACCTGAATTCCTGGTTGGACAGTGAATGGAGGAAGTACAGGTGTTGCAGAATTTGTGGGCTGTTAATCAGGATTTGCAAGCACATCCAGAAGGACACTATGGGCTCTACGAGCCTGTGTGCAAATTCTTGGTGGCTGCGGGACACTACTTGTGCTCGCCACTGCATCAGCTTGTACTGCACTTATGGGACTTGCCATGTTGCCAGGTGATACTGCAGTGCTGGTATGTATAAGACCAGGTTCTACTAGGCCACTGGTGCTCATCAGTTCACCAAAAGTTTGAGTGGCACTAGTACTGGCACTCTGCTGAATATGAGAATCATCATGTGAATGTAACACCTCAACAACCTTGGAATGGGGTCAGGTACGCCTCACCCTAGCAGGGACCTCTACTCCATCGTCTGAGCTATCTGTCAGGATGCCCTGCTGTCTACAGGTTTGTATTCTGAGGCAGATTCTGTCATTGAGGCTTCCCCTTTGCTCTCATCTGACATGCTCAGAATCCTGTAGGCCTCTTCACTAGAGTACCTTTCGTTGGACATTTTGGCCACTAAATTTATAGGTACCTAGTGAGACTCATGGGAAAAGAGCACCTGCCTGTCAAGGACTGCTTGAACTGCTACAAAACATTTTACCTGCAAGTGCTAATAGAAATCAGGCCTGATCCTGTGAACACTACGGTTTTGTGTGCAATATATCAAGTGACAGTGATCTACTGACACTGCACTTGCTGGGGGATGGGAGGGGGGTAAGCGTAGGGGCTAAACAGAGGTGGACAGGTTCTTGGGCTGATCCTGCTAACTCTGCGGTTTTGAGGACACTATACTAATATGAATGTTGGTATAGTGCTGATCTGACCAAAGATATTGATCCTTTCAGACACTATAATAAAAATGGAGGTTTATTGTGTATGGGAGAGTGTTCTTGGCAATCAAGGGGTTAAATGCAATGACTGATGTAGTTACGGGCAATCTGACGCTATCTGGGAGGGAAGCTAACTGATGCTAAATGATGCTAACACTATCTGAAGTCGCTGGTGACACTAATACAGTGATCTGTAAAAAAAAAATGTACACTGTACTAATGACACTGTTGATGGGGCAGTGAAGGGGTTAATTGGGGGGCGATCAGGGGGTTAAATGTGTCCTAAAAAGTAGAAGAAAGCATGCAGGTGGCGCAAACACCTAGTGCATTTTCCATTATTAAAAGTATAAAAGGACAAAAAATATACTCACAAACATAGCATGTGTATAAAGCATAAAAGGCCACGGAGATGGCCACAAGGATGGCAGAGTGTTCGGCTGATGGTGTGGTCGGCCTGTTGACGCGTTTCGGGAATGAATCCCTTTCCTCAGAGCTATGTCCAGCCTAAATTCAAGTGTTGCTTTATATGTCTGCGGTCAGTGCCGCCTATAGCAAAGCCTCTCCCCTCAAACCCGAAAAAGGAGAAGGGATAGTGGGAATTATTAAAACCATGTATACAGAAAATTACTACATGAATTTAAAAAATGCAGTTTTAAAAACATAAACATTACAATATATTATGAATTATAATAGTAGTTGTAAAACTATGAAGATCTATATAGTAGGCAACCAAAAAACAATATAGATGTGAAATAGGGAGGTATAGGTAGTGTCAAGAGCAATAGTGTGATGTTACAGTTCCTCAAAAAATTCCCACATCTTGAAGTTGGTATGTGCACATCCATAGAAATGACTGAAATTCATTTACAATATGTAACATCATTGCCTTTTGCATTCGATACAACCCTAAGACTTTCCATATAAAAAGGATCCTCAAAAAGTTTTGGGGTATTTTAGACCAGGACCTGTTTTTAACCAATGCCATCTCCGCAAATTTGGAGGTAATTTTTAGGAATCCCAAAGATTACAGGAGCTTCATAGCAACTAATAGGCTCAAAAGTGTCCAGACAACTTTGGCATCCTCTTGGAAGATATTATTCGAATAAAAAGGCAGCTACAGATGTGGAACAAGTAACTGTGGATGTTGCCAATTCATGTAGCATAGGAAAAAAGAAGTAATGGGCAATGATGGCATTATCTACAAGGTTAAACTATTTATTAATTGTAGCTCACAATACGTTTTATATTGTCTCATTCACCCTTGCTGCCTTTTATATGTGGGTCACATGACCCGCACATTACATATCAGATTTGGAGAGCACAAAAGAAACATTAAACATGGTTGTGAGGGGCATTTGATTCCCAATCATTTTAACCACTAGCCTACAGGGTACTTATACCCCCCTTTCCTGCCCAGGGCAATTTCCAGCTTTCAGCGCTGTCACACTTTGAATGACAATTGCGCGGTCATGCAACACTGTACCCATATGAAATTTTTATAATTTTTTTGTGACAGAGTTTTATTTTGTTGGTATTCAATCGCCTCTGGGGTTTTTAGTTTTTCTTAAACAAACCAAAAACCACTGAAAATTATGAAAAAAAAAATTTTTTTCTTAGTTTTTGTTATAAAATTTTGTAAATAAGTGATTTTTCTCCTTCACTGATGTGCGCTAATGAGGCTGCAGTGATGGGCACTGATAGGCTGCACTGATGGACACTGATAGGCATCACTGATGGTCACTGATAGGCATCACCGATGGGCACTGATAGGCAGCACTGACTGGCACTGTTAGATGGCACTGACTGGCACTGTTAGGCGGCACTGATAGGCGGCACTGATGCACACTGATATGCAGCACTGATAGGCAGCACTGACTGGCACTGATAGGTGGCACTGATTGGCAGCACTGATAGGTGGCACTGACTGGCACTGATGGGTGACACTGAAAGGCAGCTCAGATGGGCACTGATATGTGGCATTGATGTGCACTGGTAGGCACAGATATATTGCATTGATGGACACTGGCAGGTGGAACTGATGAGCACTGACAGCTGGCACTGATGGACACTGACAGGTGGCACTGCTGGGGCTACATAGATCATCAGCGCACACTGATCATCAGTGCCCTCTGAGGGATGCCAATTACCGACTCTGCTCTCCTCTCGAGCTGTTAGCGTGACAGCTCGTGAGGAGAGAAATGCCCATAACCGGCATTTCCCTATTTACATGAGATCAGCTGTGATTGGACGCAGCTGATCACTTGACTGAGCAGACATCTTCGGCTCTTTCCGAGGGACACAGCGCACCACCGATCGCAGCGCTGCGCGGTCCCCGAGCCGAGTATGCGCGGTTAGAATGGGACAACGTCATATGACGTCTTCCCAGAATAAGAGAGCCGCCTTGCGCCCACCCGTCATTATACTATATGGCGGGCGGGAGGCAGTTAAAGAAAACATGACAATAACCCAATGGGTCTCGGGGTTTTTGGGTTAGAAAGCATTCCTAGAGACATTGGCACTGGCAGATGATTTTGTCGATTATGTCAGAGAGAGACCTTTCGGATTCACCATCTGGGGACTTTGTCACCTAGAGGGCTTAATGAAGGGCTAGATACAAATGCCCTGATCCATTGATAACATACTGGTTCCTCCATAAATTGTCTGCACTGGTGGGCAACTTTGCAGATTATGTCAGAAAGGGTATAATGAAGGGCTAGATGTAAATGTTCTTAGCCATTGATAATACACTGGTTCCCTCCATACATTGGTGGTTTCCATTCATTATCTTTCACCTGTTCATTTCACGTTGATATGCATCCATTAGTGTTATGAACATTATACACCCATTTCTTCACGTATAAAAATTTTTATTTTTGTTTGCAATTTTTTTGTGTTTTTTTTTTCTATTATACAGTTGCAAGAAAAAGTATGTGAACCCCTTGGGATTACGTGGAGTTTTGCATGAATTGAGCATAAAATGTGCTCTGAACATCATCTAAGTCACAACAATAGAAGAACACAGTCTGCTGAACATAATACTACACAAACATTAGATGTTGCCATGGTTTCATTGCACATAACATGTAAACATTCACAGTGCAGGGAGGAAAAAGTATGTGAACCTTTGGACTTAATAACTGGTTGACCCTCCTTTGGAAGCAATAACCTCAACCAAACGTTTCCTGTAGTTGCAGATCAGACCTGCACAACGATCTGGAGTAATTTTGGACCACTCCTCTTCACAAAACTGTTTCAGTGTAGCAATATTCTTGGGATGTCTGGTGTGAATCACTCTCTTAAGGTCATGCCACAGCATTTCAATCGGGTTGAGGTCAGGACTCTGACTGGGCACTCCAGAAGGCGTATTCTGTGCTGTTGCAGCCATTGTTTTGTTGAATTACTTGTATGCTTTGGGTCATTGTCCTGTTGCATCACCCATCCTCTGCGGAGCTTCAGTTGGCGGACAGATGGTCGTACGTTTTCCTGCAAAATGTCTTGATAAACTCTGGAATTCATTTTCCCATCAATGACAACAATCCGTCTAGGCCCTGAGGCAGCAAAGCAGCCCCAAACCATGATGCTCCCTCCGCCATGCTTTACAGTGGGGATGAGGTTTTGATGTTGGTGCGCTGTGCCTTTTTTTCTCCACACATAGTGTTGTGTGTTCTTCCCAAACAACTCAATCTTGGTTTCATCTGTCCACAGTATATTTTGCCAGTAGTGCTGTGGAACATCCAGGTGCTCTTTTGCAAACTTCAAACGTGCTGCAATATTCTTTTTGGACAGCAATGGCTTCCTCTGTGGTGTCCTCCCATGTACTCCATTCTTGTTTAATGTTTTCCTTATTGTAGATGTGTCAACAAAAATGTTAGCATGTGCCAGAGATTTCTGTAGGTCTTTAGCTGACACTCTGGGATTCTTCTTTACCTCATGCAGCATTCTGCGCTGTTGCTCTTGCAGTCATTTTTACAGGAAGACCACGCCTAGGGAGAGTAGCAACAGTGCTAAGCTTTCTCCATTTGTAGACAGTCTGTCTTACCGTGGACACATGAACATCAAGGCTTTTGGAGATACTTTTGTAACCCTTTCCAGCTTCATGCAAGTCAACAATTCTTGATCGTAGGTCTTCTGAGAGCTCTTTTCTGCGAGGCATGGTTCACATCAGACAGTGCTTCTTGAAACCAGTAAACCCAAAACAGGTGTGTGTTTTTTTAAGGGCAGGACAGCTGTCAGCAACACATCCAATATCAACACACTGGTTGGAGTCAAGGTTGGCTCACTCCTGGCTCCAATTAGCTCTGGGAGAAGTCATTAAGTTAGGGCCTCACATACTTTTTCCTCCCTGCACTGTGAATGTTTACATGGTATGTGCAATTAAACCATGGCAACATCTAATGTTTGTGTAGTATTATGTTCAGCAGACTGTGTTCTTCTATTGTTGTGACTTAGATGACGTTCGGAGCACATTTTATGCCCAATTCATGCAAAACTCCACGTAATCCCAAGGGGTTCACATACTTTTTCTTGCAACTGTATATCATCATCAGATAACCCACAATAGCGAATAATCTTCTATTTTTCCCCTTTCTTTTTTTTCTTCTTTTTTTTCTCCTCTTTTGCAACAATAGTGATGTGCCCGAATGTGCTGGATTCACACCAGGTGTGGTGCCGCAGCAGCACATCCCAGGGGTCCTCCAGGAGGTGCAGGATCCCCCTGGTGTGCTCCAGCAGTTTGCCTTGCGAGTACCGGATGTGGCGTCACTACGGCGCACTTCCAGTTGGCTACTTCTGGCCTTTGGAACGCACAACCACGCCGGCGTGCGTTCCGGCAGCCATTTCACTCTCATTTTTTGATATTTCTATGGATGTGCACATACCAACTTCACTCTCCATGACAAAAAAAAACAAGATGTGGGTCTGTTTTTTTAGGTACTGTAACATCACACTGTTGCACTTGACACTACCTATACCTTCCCATTTCACATATTGTTTTTTGGTTGCTTACTATATAGATCATCTTTTTACAACTGCTATTATAATTTATAATATATTATAATGTTTTTTAAAACTGCAATTTTTAAATTCATGTAGTTATTTTCTGTATACATGGTTTTAATAATTCCCATGATCCCCTTCTCCTTTTTTGGGTTTGTGGGGAGGGGCTTTGCTATAGGCGGCACTGGCCACAGACATATAAAGCAAAACTTGAGTTTAGGCTGGACATAACTCTGAGGAAAGGGATTTGTCCCCAAAACACATCAGCAGGCCAAGAGCACCATCAGTCGGACACTCTGCCATCCTTGTAGCCATCTCCATGGCCTTTTATGCTTTATACACATGCTATGTTTGTGAGTATATTTTTTTTGTCCTTTTATACTTTTAATAAACCTTGGATAATGCACTAGGTGGTTGCGCCACCTGTATGCTTTCTTCCAGTTTGTTGATTTCCCCATTTGAGAAGGGCTGCATCTCCTAAACGTTATCCATAGGCTATTTATGCATCTGAGCTCCTGGCCTTCCCCTGGCATTGGCTCTCTCGAAGCGCTGAAGAGATTATACATGTGTCCTAAAAAGTGTTCTAACTGTGTAAGTGTGCTTTTTTACTCATGTATGTCTGCTTTCTTCTATCCCTGGGACGGAATGTGCCCAAAGAGAGAAGATTGCCTCATTTCCTGTACCTGTGTAAGTGTAAACACAGGTACAGGAAAATCTGTGATAGGCCAGGGATCGATCATCCGATTCAGGTCAAACATCACTGGCCTAATTCGGGTGATTAATCCCTTGGGCACCGAATCAAGGCACCCGCGTGTCGGTCCGCGATCCCTGCTGGAGCGTGAATCACACATACATACATACACACACATATATATACAGTCAGGTCCATAAATATTGGGACATCGACACAATTCTAACATTTTTGGCACTATATACCACCACAATGGATTTGAAATGAAACAAACAAGATGTGCTTTAACTGCAGACTGTCAATTTTAATTTGAGGGTATTTACATCCAAATCAGGTAAACGGTGTAGGAATTACAACAGTTTGCATATGTGCCTCCCACTTGTTAAGGGACCAAAAGTAATGGGACAGAATAATAATCATATATCAAACTTTCACTTTGTAATACTTGGTTGCAAATCCTTTGCAGTCAATTACAGCCTGAAGTCTGGAACGCATAGACATCACCAGACGCTGGGTTTCATCCCTGGTGATGCTCTGCCAGGTCTCTACTGCAACTGTCTTCAGTTCCTGCTTGTTCTTGGGGCATTTTCCCTTCAGTTTTGTCTTCAGCAAGTGAAATGCATGCTCAATCTGATTCAGGTCAGGTGATTGACTTGGCCATTGCATAACATTCCACTTCTTTCCCTTAAAAAACTCTGGTTGCTTTTGCAGTATGCTTTGGGTCATTGTCCATCTGCACTGTGAAGCGGCGTCCAATGAGTTCTGAAGCATTTGGCTGAATAGGAGCAGATAATATTACCCGAAACACTTCAGAATTCATCCTGCTGCTTTTGTCAGCAGTCACATCATCAATAAATACAAGAGAACCAGTTCCATTGGCAGCCATACATGCCCACGCCATGACACTACCACCACCATGCTTCACTGATGAGGTGGTATGCTTAGGATCATGAGCAGTTCCTTTCCTTCTCCATACTCTTCTCTTCCCATCACTCTGGTACAAGTTGATCTTGGTCTCCTCTGTCCATAGGATGTTGTTCCAGAACTGTGAAGGCTTTTTTAGATGTCGTTTGGCAAACTCTAATCCGGCCTTCCTGTTTTTGAGGCTCACCAATGGTTTACATCTTGTGGTGAACCCTCTTTATTCACTCTGGTGAAGTCTTCTCATGATTGTTGACTTTGACACACATACACCTACCTCCTGGAGAGTGTTCTTGATCTGGCCAACTGTTGTGAAGAGTGTTTTCTTCACCAGGGGAAGAATTCTTCGGTCATCCACCACAGTTTTTTTCCGTGGTCTTCCGGGTCTTTTGGTGTTGCTGATCTCACCGGTGCATTCCTTCTTTTTAAGAATGTTCCAAACTGTTGTTTTGGCCTCTCCTAATGTTTTTGCT